TAAGTCAGCATCAGGAAATGCATGTTTATATAAGCTGATCCATCTTTCTTCACAGGCCACGCCTTTCAGAGAATGCTAAGGAAAAGCCTAAGGAAAGAGCATGCTCCTCCCCTAACACCACAGGGAGCATCTTGTCTCACACAGGGATGTCATAACTAACCCTCCAAACAGAACATACCCCGCCCCCTAAAAATTCCAAAATGAAATTAACAGGAGGCATGACAGTTCATGAAATTATGAAACCTAAGTTATGGTTTGATTTATTCTGCAGTCTTGCAGACATCACAAACCTTTCAACAGGATCAAAACAAAAATGTTCTTTCCATAATGGATAATGGATAAGTTAAATCAATCGTGGCATAACTGTAAAATGGAATATTTTTAAACTACTAGAAGGTGTAATCAACATGTATTTAAAGCCACTGAAAGATTTTTTTTTTGGTGTATAGTCAGCTTACAATGCTGTGTCCATTTCTGGTGGACAGCGAAATAGTTCAGTCATACATATACATACATATATCCGTTTTCATATTCTTTTTCATTATAGGGTACTGCAAGATATTGAATAGAGTTTTCTGTGCTATACAGTAGAAACTTGTTATTTATCTATATTATATATAGTAATTAGTATCTGCAAATCTCAAACTCCCAATTTATCCCTTCCCAGCCTGAAAGATGTTTTGATAATTGAATGAATAAAGCCAATAAAACAGAAGATGTGGTATAATCCCAGTTTTTCATAAGGTATAAAATTTAAGAAAAAGAGGCTGATAAGAACGTAGATAAGGGGAGCAAAATGTGAGCAGGTTTTTTATGTAGTTAAGCTTCTAGGTGATTTTTAATATATGACTTGACATATCTGTGTTTTTAAATTTTTACATAATAAATCTATACTGACTGGTGGACTAAAACTAAACTTAGACCTATTGAGATGGTCATGTTTATTTAAAAAGAGGCCTATAGGGCAGAATTCAGTCCTAACCCAGAGCAGGCCCAGAAGGGCATTTGAAACTGAATATTCAGCCAGGCTGCACCAATTACCAAAGGATCCCAGAGAACTTGGGTAAGAATCAGAAATTGTTGAAAATGGTGGAGAAGTTTTTAAAATTCCACTCTGCTGAGAGGCATAATAACTCCTCTCCCAAACTCTATTATAACTAATTTCAAATATGTCAGTGAAACGCATGTCACTTCTGGATATTTAAAAGCAACCAAAA